CATAAGTCACTCTTAACACCCAGGCAAACAGTGTGCTAAACACTTAGAACACTCAGCAACCAGTTAACAGTGTGCTACAGTCGTGTATGCTGTGTTCTGATTAGCTAACTTTCTATCCTAAATAGTATTAAAAATTAGAATTAGTGTGTCCCAATCGTATTATGTTGAAATGAGTATCCCAAAGGTACCTGGATGGTCTACATATCAGTGTGCTAAAAGAACACTCAGGACACTGTAACAAACACATAGCAATGTGCTAAAATAATCCGCACATTCTAGCAACCACATAGCAATGTGTTAAAACAAAAACAAAACAACAAAAAAACTCAGAACACCCTAGCAACCACAGCAATGTGCTAAAAAAAACTCAGAACACCCTAGCTATCCAGTGCATTGTGATTGGCTGAATACCTCAAGTGGGTGACGGAAATATTACGCCCCTACCATACTGTGATGCCCTGTGTCCCGGCGCAACAAGACAAAACAATAAAACCCATTTCAAACGAGGCATTTGTGGCATCCAGTGGGGACATATCACACTACAGATTTAAATGTACAAACACGTGGCATATTTTCTTTGTATTGCTTTTCTGTGAGCTAGCCAATATATCTCCATTAAATCAATATCTTTCACCAATAAGAGAATAGCATAGTGGTTCTCGAAATGCTCAATTATGTTTTTGTTATGAGGAAGATTAATTATGTTGGAGGAATGTTATACAGAGACAGTGGCGATGACACGCCGCTCACAATGAAAGAGCTGATTCTGCAAAAACAAGCCTTCTGTTCAGAGCCGGAGAGAGTTAAATATGCTAGAGTCTGCACTTTCTCGCCTTTTTTCTTCTTTCATCGGCTGTCGTGAATACAGTCGATAAGGGTGCGAGTATGTGTGTTGTGTGTGTGTGTGTGTGTGTGTGCTTTACCTCATACCTCGTCAATATAGTATTGTTCAAACTAAATGTTAGAACACTGTGTAGATGGCACTGATTTTCACTGGCATGCTTTATGGAGGAGTGCATTTTTGGAGATTTCCACTCAGCTAAATATTACAAATAGATATCTGTGTGTGTATATATATATGATTAAACAACGTGACCAATGGATAGTGCACATTTTCTTTTTTCTTTTAAATATTTAGCATATGCATGCATATATTCATTTCAGAAATTGTATAAACCTTTATCTTTTTTGCTATTATTAGATTTTATTATGTACAGTAGGGTCAGAAAGTCTGAAACCACTAATGTAAACGTTTCTGTTTGGCTTTTTCTTGTTTAATTTTATTTACAAATTGTATATTGTCACTCTATAATGATCAAAAGAGCATTTTACAGTACTTCAATGGAGGCAAGAACACCTGACCTGACAAAGGAGCCACATGGTCAATATTACAAATTTACTTATTTAATTAGTAATATAAAAAATAATATAATTCTAGAATATGCAGAATATAATTACAGGTATCTTATTATAATCTGTAATATTATATCTTAAATGATGTGATTCTTATTCATAGTGGTGAATACAGCTGAAAACGTTGTTGTTGTTGTTGGTGGTGGTGATGGTGCTAGTAGTGTTTTCTTAAGCTTCCTTATTTCCGTCCACAGTGAGATTCAGTCATTTTTCTCCCAAAGCATTCTGCTCGCTGCAGCTTGGCTAGTCCTGAGGTGCTCATTTTCATCCCTTCCTCCATTTTTCCTTCTTCTAACAGCTTGTACTACCTGCTTGCATTTTCATTTGTCTCCTGAGTTCCACACACTCTCTCTCTCTCTCTTGCTCGCTCTCTCTGTTTCTCGTCTTCTCCCTCGCTGCTGTGAGGTTCTGAGGGCAGTCATGACTGCTCTGTTTTGGGTGCTGGATCTCGGTGTTATTTTTGACTGGCATTGAGCGCCGGTTGATCGTTCTCGGACCAGGAACAATCTTCAGAGTGGCCCAGGAAAGGGCCACCAACCAAAGCACTATGCTTTGAGGGTACTGCGGTCTCTCTTGAGCTCAGAGAGAATGAGATAGCGTTACAAACAACCCATTAACCATTCTCCTGAAGAAGGTAGGTGGAATTTACCTGGTTATGAATTTGCGGACAGTGAGTCTGAATTTCAGAGAGAGGTTGTTTTTATTGTTTTGTATGATTAATAGGTATTGTAAGGTTTGTGAGGGTGTTGGTCTGGATGCACAAATTTTAGAACTGGATTACACTTTGTTATCATCATGGTTATGGAAAATGTTGGCATCGCTTTGAAATGCAAATTCCACTGTTATTGGTATATTTGGGTGGTTTTGTTTCATTATTTCAGTCGAATCATTGTTCTGAGCATTACATGACTGCCTCTGGCTCATCGCACTAGTGCTGTAGTAATCTGTCAACTTACAGATGAAATCTGAGTGTTACGATCATTATGCCACAGATCACAGTTATATTTTATGAATTATCAACATTTGTAATGTACAGGTTCCATTTTTACCCCTGTGGAATCTACGTTTCTTTGAATAGTTTGAAGCTGCCTGTGCCTGTCATTGGAAAGGCATGATGACTCACTGACCATAAGCATTTCAGCTCCAGTGTTGCTCCAGTCGTTGTACAGGAAAAAGAACAGTGTTTTAAGCTTTTTACACATCTCTAATGAGGAACATATACGGCAACAAGAGTTTTATCTACATTAAAAAAAATGTATCTCATTGTGCACTAAAATACAAATAGTCAGTTTGATTATATGTGACCCTGGAGCACAAAAGCAGTCTAAAGTCGCTGGGGTATACTTGTAGCAATAGCCAAAAAAACATTGTATGGGTCAAAATTATAGATTTTTCTTTTATGCCAAAAATCATTAGGATCTTAAGTAAAGATCATGTTCCATAAATATATTTTGTAAATTTCCTACTGTAAGTATATCAAAACTTAATTTTTGATTAGTAATATGCATTGCTAAGAACTTAATTTGGACAACTTTAAAGGCGATTTTCTCAATATTTTGATTGTTTTTGCACCCTCAGATTCCAGATTTTCAAATAGTTGTATCTCGGCCAAATATTGTCCTATCCTAACAAACCATGCATCAATGGAAAGCTTATCTATTCAGCTTTGATATGTTGTATAAATCTCAATTTTAAAAAAAATTACCCTTATGACTGGTTTTGTGGTGCAGGGTCACATACTGTATAATGCTGTAAATCACACAGTGTTTAAATATAGTAAATATACACTCACCAGCCACTTTATTAGGTATACCTTGATAGTACCGGGTTGGACCCCCTTTTGTCATCAGAACTGCCTTAATTCATGAACATTCAAACATGTCACATTCAGTCACTTAAATCAACTTTCATCCCAGTTCTGATGCTCGGTTTGACCTTCAGCAGATTGTCTTGATCAAATCGACATGCCTAAAGGCCAAAGTATACTTCGGTTTTTATGATGGTCCACGTATAGTGTGCATGATGCAAATTTTGTCACCAGAAGAGTACACGCACCATCCAATTTTTGTAAAGATGCACTGATACAAAATTTCTCATCCGATACCGATAGTTGATTATTCAGAATGATATCTGCCGATACTGATAGATTCGTTTTCTAACGGAAAAAAATCGCTTCCAACTAATGCTGTAAATATCAGCAACCTTAGTTTAAAAGAGTACAAAGACAGGTTTATCGGTCATATCTTCTGGAGAAAAACAGAGCAGACGCTGGACAAAGATGAAGCTTTCTAGAGCATATGTGTCGACCTCCTGTGTTCGTGTACACCTCAAATGGACTATACTGTGAAAGGCTACGTGTACGATTGTGTGCATATGTTAGCGTACACATTTAAAAAAAAAAAATATATATATATATACTTGGGCCTTAAGTGCATTGAAGTGCCGCCATCAGATTGGCTTATTAGATTTTTAACAAGCAGTTGAAAAGATGTACCTATCCACGTATAGTGTGCATGATGCAAATTTTGTCACCAGAAGAGTACACGCACCATCCAATTTTTGTAAAGATGCACTGATACAAAATTTCTCATCCGATACCGATAGTTGATTATTCAGAATGATATCTGCCGATACTGATAGATTCGTTTTCTAACGGAAAAAAATCGCTTCCAACTAATGCTGTAAATATCAGCAACCTTAGTTTAAAAGAGTACAAAGACAGGTTTATCGGTCATATCTTCTGGAGAAAAACAGAGCAGACGCTGGACAAAGATGAAGCTTTCTAGAGCATATGTGTCGACCTCCTGTGTTCGTGTACACCTCAAATGGACTATACTGTGAAAGGCTACGTGTACGATTGTGTGCATATGTTAGCGTACACATTTAAAAAAAAAAAATATATATATATATATACTTGGGCCTTAAGTGCATTGAAGTGCCGCCATCAGATTGGCTTATTAGATTTTTAACAAGCAGTTGAAAAGATGTACCTAATAATGTGGCCGGTGTGTGTACATTTCAATAGAATATATACTGTACATTCATTAAGCAGACACTTTGTTTAGCAGTATCTAGTGTTAATCTACAATTTAGTATCTGCTTTACAACTTGTTTATTTATAAAGGTTTATTTTAAAGGATTATTTATATGTTGTTGTGCACATAGATGGTTTTATTATGTGTGGACTGAGCTCTTAGGTTCTCATTAATTTACAAATAATTATAAGTACCACATAAACAAGAGCACTTATGACAAAAATGTGCTTTACATATAAAGTAGAACATGTCATACATATTGTTTAACTTCATATACAAGAACTGCTTATCAGTTTGCTATTTACATGTCTGCATGTTTCTTGTGCCACTTCTTTATTGTTCTGCCCATTTTCTAGAATCCAAAAGAGTTTTGTTTAAATGGTTTATTATTTTATTTTTAATGAATTCTGTCTTCCTGTAGCTATGTTTTGTGGTGATTGATGAGTGTTATGTCTAGCTAAGCTATGTTTACACTGCAAGTCACGGGCTATTTCCTGTGCTTTTTCATTTCTCCGTTATGGCAAACGTTCTCGGCTTCCCTTGTTCCTGCAGGGTTCAGCCGATTCGTACACGAGCAGACCTTCGGATTCCGACCTGTCAGCGGAGGAGGACCGCGAGGCGTATCGGCTTGAAGCCGAACGCCAGGCCCAGCTGCAGCTCGAGAGAGCTAAGGTTCCTCAAGCTCTTCTTTAATGAGCTTTTTCTATTTTTTTGTATAGTGGGCAACAACAAAGTGTCAGTCTGCATGTAGCTTTAGAAATGTGTTGGGACGGGATCATCCATACTAATGTGCTTAGAGTAAACATTTTATAAGCATTTAGGTCAATATTGTAAACTTTAAGAGGATCATTTCATAGTTTCTTGATAGTTGTGTAATGTAATGTAATGACGTTATTAACGTTGATTTCCCTGGCAGTCCAAACCTGTAGCATTCGCAGTGAAGACAAATGTGAATTATTGCGGGGCTCTAGATGAGGACTGCCCTGTTCAGGGTGCTGCCATAAACTTTGAAGCCAAAGACTTTCTGCACATTAAAGAGGTGAGTTGCATGTACAATACATGCAGACAAATGTGTAAAAGGTTTTGCAGGTTAATCCTTCTTGCTAACAGTGCCCATAATAATGCATCATAATAGTGCTGAGCATGTTTTTCTTTGTGTTGCAGAAGTACAATAATGACTGGTGGATTGGAAGGCTGGTGAAAGAGGGGGCAGACATCAGCTTCATTCCCAGCCCCCTCCGACTGGAGGCCATGAGACTGAAACAGGAGCAGAAACAACAGAGGTCTCTCTTTCTCTCTTTGTCAAGACTGTGAACAATTGAATCTATTTCAGAAGTTTAATCCATGAAAACCTTTGATTACATATGGACACGTTTGCAAACTCAGCCCAGGTCCATTAATATTATAAGTAAATATTGCAGTTTACATGAACTAAGATTAATACATGCTTTAGAGGTATTGGTCATTGTTAATTCATGTTAACTAATTTTGTTAGCTACTGCTAAAAAAAAAAAAAAGAGTTCACCCAAAAATGGAAATTTGCTGAAAATTCAGGCCATCCCAGATGTAGATGAGTTTGTTTCTTCATCGGAACAGGTTTGGAGAAATGTAGCATCACATCATTTGCTCACCACTGGATCCTCTGCAGTGAATGGGTGCCGTCAGAATGAGAGTCCAAACAGCTGATAAAAACATCACAATCCACATCGCTCCAGTCCATCAGTTAATGTCATGTGAAGTGAATAGCTGCATGTTTGTAACAAATCCATCATTAAGGTGTTTTGACTTTAAACCGTTGCTTCTGGACAAAATATGGGTCCATAATCCATAATAACACTTCCTCCAGTGGAAAAAGTCCATCCTCTGTTGTCATCTCACTTTAAAAACCACAGGCATATTGGTTTAAAACTGTTTTGGACTGTTTCCGCTTGTAACTGGTGCTTGATCTGTGCATATTTCTCTCCTTATTCAGACGAGACAACCTTTTCAGAAAACATTATTATGAATAGAGGGCTAATATTTTAGACGTAAAGGTGTGAAGTTAAAAACATCTTAATGATGGATTTGTTTCTTACAAGCATGCAGTTTTTCGCTTCACAAGACATTAACTGATGGATTGGAGTGGTGTGGATTATTGTGATGTTTTTATCAGCTGTTTGGACTCTCATTCTGACGGCACCCATTCACTGCAGAGGATCCACTGGTGAGCAAGTGATGCAATGCTACATTTTTCCAAACCTGTTCTGATGAAGAATTATACACGTGCAGTGGGTCGTGTATTGTTCCAGTACTGCTTTTTGCATACTATGAAGCTGGGAATTGAGATTGTCCAACTACAGATGCCAAAATATGTCTCAATGATAATATTTTAATGAAGCTGACAATTCTGTTAATGTGCGAAAGTAATGCAAAGGTAATGTAATGCATTACTTTCCATAAAAAGTAACTAAGTAACGTAATTAGTTACTTTTTTAGGGAGTAACGCAATATTGTAATGCATTACTTTTAAAAGTAACTTTCCCCAACACTGGGAGTCTGTTTGGGTTTAGTACGATTTTTTTTAATGTTGTTTTATGTTATGTTTTATGCTCACCAAGGCTGCATTTTTGTTTATTAAAAATATAGTAAACAGTAATATTGTGAAATATTATTACAATTTTAAACTGTTTTCTATTTAAATATATATTTAAAATTGCAATTTATTCCTGTGATGCAAAGCTGAATTTTCAGCATCATTACTCCAGTCTTCAGTGTCACATGATCCTTCAGAAATCACTCTAATATGCTGATGTGATGATCAAGAAACATTTCCTTGAAAACTCTTGTGCTGCTTACAATTTTATGGAAAATGTGATACATTTTTTTTTTAACTTTTGATCAATTTAATGCATCCTTGCTGTATAAAAGTACGTCTTCTTACTGGCCCCAAACCTTTGAACAGTATTGTATGCCAGAACAAGGTCTCTATTTATTTGAATGACTGTTAAGACTTTTTTTAGAGTACCGTGCATAAAATATCCGTAAATTAGATGTCTTAAAGTCTGCATGAAATCATAATGTACGCTATTTACTTTGTTAGCGCACATTGCTTAGACTTGAGGTGAACAATTAATCTGTGCAATTCAATCCACTGAAAAAAAATTGCCTTGGTAATCAAAATCTGAACATTTGCTTCCGCTCTGGAGTGGCGTTCCTTCTCTGATGACGTCAGTTTAATGGCTTGGGTAGAATATCCTTAGACATGACACTCCAACCGTTAGGAAAGGATATGCGCTAAAATAAAACCCTGCCCTCTATTCAATATTCCCTTTCAGTTGGAAATACGTCACAATACTGAAGTAAAGTCAGCAGCAACTTCTGGTTCACGCAGACTTTAAGAAATCGCACTTGTCTCTGTGACAGCTCTAGATGCTGTAAACAATAAGACAATGTCTGACAACGTCTCATGCATCTCAGAAAATATAGCAGTTTGTACCACGAATGTTGCCAGTCTGTGCTGATACATTACGGAAACCGTTCCTAATCCAGGTTTGTAGTTGTAGTTAATGCTGTAGTTCTATGTAACATTGCCACTCTTGTCTTTCTCACTTAGACTGAACACATTCCTCCATATGATGTGGTGCCGTCCATGAGGCCTGTGGTTCTGGTTGGACCTTCACTGAAGGGCTACGAGGTGAGCACTAAACATTATTCAGCCTTCTGAATTGGTCTTTTAAATTCGTTGTCTTACGTGTTGTGACTGTCAACAGGTGACAGATATGATGCAGAAAGCCCTGTTTGACTTTCTCAAACATCGCTTTGATGGACGGTGAGTTTTAAAAGACATCTTGGCACATTTTTGGTCTGTATACGACGTATACAAATATTTTGTCAACTTTTACTCATTCTTACGTCTTTATGGTGACAGTATTTGTCAAGATCATAAAAATTGTCTATACAGCTCATGTGATTGTATTTCATTTATTTGAAAGCCATACAATAGTTTTGAGCGAGGGATATCTTTCTTTCACATCATTAAGTGCACTAATGTATTGTTATGCGGACAGGATTTCTATAACCAGAGTGACCGCTGACCTTTCTTTGGCTAAGAGATCGGTTCTCAACAAGAGACCCATCATGGAGAGGTCTAACACACGAACCAGTTTGGGTGAGAACATCACAAACTAAAGATGTGCTATAATACGCCCTTCAGTGCTCACCAATAAAGATGGCTCAAGGCCAGAACGTCATGTCCCCATGTGTTGATATTGCTTACTCAAACAATTGGTTTTATGCGATGTACCGATCACTGTTGTCGCAAATTCTGTAAAAAACTGTAAGAATGAAAAAGGCATCTGGCAGATTAAGTTAAAAAAAATTCAAACTAGCAGACAAAATCTGTATCGTTGAGCTCTGTCGGTACATTAGAGCTTTTGAGCATTTTCTCCCTTTTTTGTTCTTGGGCTTAATGTTTTATGGGCGCTATTTGTCTGTTTGCCCACTCAGCGGAGGTACAGAGTGAGATCGAGAGAATATTTGAGCTGGCCAAAACCCTTCAGCTGGTGGTTCTAGATGCGGACACCATTAACCATCCAGCACAACTAGCTAAAACCTCATTAGCTCCTATTATTGTGTACGTCAAAGTCACCTCTCCAAAGGTAAGTCTGATGATCACATGTAAAGGAATATGCTGAAAATATATTAAAAGAATATCTTCCGCTCTGTCGACAGCAAAATAGATACTTCATTGTCGAAACTAACCCAGTTTCTTTGATTTCTCTTTGTTATTGGCAGGTCCTACAGAGATTGATAAAGTCGAGGGGTAAATCACAGAGCAAACACCTCAATGTTCAGATGATGGCAGCAGATAAACTGACTCAATGTCCTCCTGTAAGTTCTTGAAGTTTAACACACAAACACACATGCATCATTTAGAGAGGTGTTTTACAACACTGTAGATTCAAAATTAGTGTTAGTATGGTAATGTTGTCAGGATCCATTTTTCATAGATAAGATTTTTGGAGTTTTACAATATTTCCTTCCCCTACAAAAGAAGGAGATTGGCAGCCCTAAAAACTTCAGCCTAAGTATTACATTATATACCGAAAAAGGTAGCATAACATTTTTTTCCAAAAAGTTATTGACTCCCCCTAATTTTGGTCCAAATCCTCATTTTGTTCTCTGGAACACAAAAGATATTTTGAGAAACCATAACAATTGCTCTTTTCCGTGCAATTACAAGAAATGGGGACTGGAGCTTTTTTAAGTTTTAAGGACACAAAAGCACCATAAAAGTATAAGCAATGTCTGATTCTTGAGTCTTTTTCAGGGGTGTTTGTAATGAATTGGTTCATTTCTGAATGTTCTTTCATGTAGCCTCACAAATAAGAGCTAGGGTGGATGTTACTATTTTCATAACCTTTATTTCTCATGCAAAGCTATTGCATTGTTTCAGGACACTTGTTGACTTTTATGGTGCTTTTGCTTCCTTTTTGAAGCCTGAAAGTACCCATTCATTGCAATTGCATGGAAACTGAAGCTACACAAGGGTGCATAAATGACAACAGTATTTAATTGTTTTGATGAAATCTTAAAAATCTATAACATAATTTAGCTGTTGTCCTCTATATAAATAGACACACATATATATATATATATATATATATATATATATATAGACCTGATTAGTTTAGCAAGGATTGCAAGTATGAGAACTGCAGGTTTTAAGGGCATTTCATTTAGGGCACAGCTGTTTGACTAAATTGTCTTTTTATTGTGTGTTATTTGGAAATGAAGGTAAATTCTAGTCTCACATTGTTAGTGAACTGGTGTAATTTTAAATGTTTGTTCTTCATTCTCACTTGATTGACTGGCCTTGCTACAGTTCTAGTGCTGTAGATGCTTGCTTTTTCAAACCACATTCTGACAAAAATCATGTTGCATGTTGTTCCATAGAGCCATTATCCTACCTGTCGCTCAACGTCATCTCCCATCACCTGACCACCATCATAAGATATTTTATATAATATCTTCTAATTCCATCCCCCGCATGTCATCTTCTCCTCCACCCTGTCTCCCCATCAGGAGATGTTTGATGTCATTTTGGATGAGAACCAGTTGGAGGACGCCTGTGAGCACCTCGCTGAATATCTGGAGGTCTACTGGCGTGCCACTCATCTGCCCGGCACCACCCCTCTCAACCAATTGGAGCAAAATCTGATGACCCCACCCTCAGCAATCTCCAGTCTACAGGTAAGGTGGCTTTGTGTGAATGGGCGGAAACATTTAAAGAGTTTCAGTATGTGACCCTGGACCACAAAACCAGTGTCAATTAAGTGTCCATTTTACCAAATTGAGATGTATACATCATCTGGAAGCTGAATAAATAAGCTTTCCATTGATGTATGGTTTGTTAGGATAGGACAATATTTGGCTGAGATACAAATATCTGAAAATCTGGAATCTGAGGGTGCAAAAAATCTAAATACTGAGAAAATCACCTTTAAAGTTGTCCAAATGAAGTTCTTAGCAATGCATATTACGAATCAAATTAAGTTTTGATATATTTACAGTAGGACATTTACAGAATATCTTTATGGAACATGATCTTTACTTAACATCCTAATGATTTTTGGCATAAAAGAAAAATCTATAATTTTGACCCATACAATGTATTTTTGGTTATTGCTACAAATATACCCCAGCGACTTAAGACTGCTTTTGTGGTTCAGGGTCGCATATGAAGATATGTAGGAGAGCTATATGTTAATTTTCATGTGCCTTTGACTCAGGATAATCAAAGTAAGTTTACACAAAGGGATTGCAAAACTAGTGTAATGGCACATCTTTAAGAAAACTTAACACATTAAATCACAATACCCAGCAAATATATGATAAATATTCAGTGTATTGGCTTTTTTTATTTAAAAATGCAATGACTACATTATTAAAAAGGAACAAGTTAGTTAGACTAGAGGCCACCAGACTTAGTATGTGTCCTCATCGATCAGCCAGGAAAGTAGTCCAGAGACTGTGCTAAACATAATCATCTAGAATATATCAGGTTTGAGAAACATATCTTATATTCGTGATGTGTAAATCCTTGTATGTATCCACCTTATTTAAGATCCTATCAAATTAATTTATACAGCTGATCTCGAAAGTCAGAAAGTTGCAGTTTCACAGAAAATCACAAAGGTCACAACTGATTTTCACTGGTATATGGGACACAGTTTGTAAGATAGACAGGCACCGTGGAACTTCTTTGTAAATTAAAAAATGCAAAATAAAGGTAGTGGCACTAGAGTTCTCAGACCTTTGGAACCCCCTGTATATTTAAAACGTGCGACTCCATTATACTCTTCTGCGTTAAGTAATAATTGGTCAATCCTATATTGCGTTTAACAAAACAGATGTGTAATTTTAAAATGGATAATAATTGTCCTGTCATTAAATGTTTGTCTGTTCTGTCCTTTCCTCTACTCCATATTTCCACTCTGTCTTTTAGTTGTCTTGGGTCCACAGATGCTTGTAATACTGATATGTTGTAAGTCTCAATCTGTCTGTTCTGTGTCTCATTCATGCCTGACATCTTTGCAGTTCTCTGAAACACAGGAATTAATTGAATGAACGCTTACAAACCTGCGGTGAGTAGGTGGGATGGTCAGTCTACCTTTCCCCACCCTGATACTTCTTTACATCCTCCAATTCCTTCAACCCCTCCAAATGGAAATGGCCATCTGGTATCCCCCACTGGAAAAAAAAATCATATATCCAAATATATGATTTTGTTATGCTGTTGTTGGTGAGGCATGTAGCTCATTCATAGTTTTTATGTGGCAACAGCATTAGCCCAGTGGGAGTAATACAAAAGCTTTTTGTTTAAAATTATACAGGCCTTACAATTACTTTTAATGTTAAGAAAACTCCTCCAAAAGCACATTCAAATGTCCTTTTCAGTATATAGTCAGTGTGTTTTACGGTGATGATACACGGGGCAACTTTTTGGGCAATGTTGCTGGGCAATGTTGCCATCAACAGGCAACCAGGTGAGACACAGGGCACACGACCCATCTAAAGTACCCAGATAGAAATTTGTTGCCCATTCTCAATGGGAAAGTGCCCAAGCAACATCACTCAGCAACACTGCTCAAAAAGTTGCCCCATGTATCATCACCTTTAAGGTGTAGGCAATGTTTCTAAAGGGGTAGGCGACTTTTCTAGCAGTGTAGGTATTACATCTTTAAGATGTAGGTAGCATTTGTAAAGATGTAGGCAGCATGTCTTTAAAGGGATAGTTCACCCAAAAATGAAAATTACCCCATGATTTACTCACCCTCAAGCCATCCTAGGAGTATATGACTTTCTTCTTTCAGACGAATCCAATCAAACACCCTCGCTCTTCCAAGCTTTATAATGGCAGTGAATGGGTGTTATTTTTCAATAGTCCAAAAGAAGTCCAATGAAGCGCATCCACCTATCATAAAAAGTGTCCCACACGGCTCCGGAGGTTAGGGTTACCTAACCATTTGTAAGGGTGTAGGTGGCACATGTCAAGGTGTAGGACAGGGATCTCCAACCCTGCTCCTGGAGAGCTACCATCCAGCAGACTTCAGTACCAGCCCTGTTCAACACACCTGCCTATAATTATCAAGTAACCCTGAACAACTTAATTAGCTGGTTCAGGTGTGTTTGATTGGGGTTGGAGCTGAAATGAGCAAGATGGTAGCTCTCTAGGAGCAGGGTTGGAGACCCCTGGTGTAGGCAACATTTCTAAAGATTTAGGCTGAATTTCTAAAGGTGTAGGCAGCATTCCTATGGGTTGGAGGTTAGAAATGAATTTGGTTAAATTCAGGGCAATAGCCACTTCCATTTCACTCCTTTTTGAGCAGTGCAAACTTTCCATTTGACAAGGCCTACTTTTTCTATGATTTCTATCGTGTTATGCACTTACCCCTCTACACTTTTTCACTTAATTTGCTAGTATTAGAGAGAGAGCTGCACACACAGTCATCTCAGACTGCTCTGTTTATGCACCTTGCTGATTGATATTAACACCGTAGAACCTTCATAAGATGAGTTCACAAAGCAGATACAGCTGCCTGTTTTCCTGTGTTATAAAGAAATGCGTTGATTTTATGACTTTGGAAAAGAGGCTGTATCTGACCACACAGACTGATGCTTTGTGAATGTGACAACCCTTCTAACTTCCCTTTGAATGCAACCTCCTTGTTTCTGAAACTAACCTGAATCTTTTTGCTCCAGAGGAAAATGCGTAGAAATCTATAATGCACAGCAGTTTGATCTTAGACCTAGAACCCAAAGGCTTTGTTCAGACAGGCAGCAAAAATTAGATTCTTGCCACATGTGGCTCAAATCCATTCAGTCTGGACAGCATAAGCACTTCTGACAACCCCAATCCAAAACACATTCATCGATTATGACAATTATTTAAAAAACTAATCCGATTTGTGTGCAGTATGAACAAAGCCATAGTAACCAGTCACTCTAAATTTCCTCATTGGTGAGACTTCACCACTTCTCTCCACCTCTCTGCACATTACGTGTTTTATATTTGTGTGTTTTTTGTCTTTATGGGATCTTCTAAATGAGTCATTTTTCTTTGGAGTGAAACAGAAAGAGGAAACGGGTGACCTCAGAATGGTTCAGAGTTGTCATCTGTCTCTTTCTGTCTCAGAACCAGCAGCTGTCGCCTGCCGGGGGTGGAGGGGGAGTGGAGGAGGAGGAGCAGGGGGAGCAGGACAGCCTCATGCCTTCCGACGAGGCCAGTGACTCTCGCTCCCTCCGCCAAGGCGGCTCTAGCTCCCTGCACCCCCCGGAGGATGAGGAGGAAGAGGAGGAGGAGGAAGATGATTACGAACCCCAACACCACCCTCACCCGTACCGGGACGTGTACCCGCCCAAACATAACCACCCTGGTGACATCCACAGCGCTAACGGACACGAGTCACAGGACCGACTCTTGCAGCAGCGAGACTCGCAGGACGGACACAACCAACTAAACAACCGCCAGCGCATGAGAGCCTGGCCAAGAGACAACTACTGAGCGCCTGTCTGGAGGAGAGGGTTGGGTCGTGAATTGGGGTGAGGGGTGATGGGAATTGGTGAGGAACTGGAAAGGCACAGTGTGTGTGTGTTTGAGCGTGTTTGTGGATGAAGCTGCCCATGGTTGATGAAAAGATCCTGTTGTTTTCAAAGCTTATGTGGTCGTTATTGTTTGAGGCATTGCACTACATTTGCTTTTAAAAGACAGGGCAGCTTTTCTCCTTTAAGATCACATGCATGTTCATATCGAAACCATATTTGAGCTTCCTCTGGAAACCCTAACCCCACGTGAGTCAAAAATGACTTTATTATTTTACGTATCATACGCTCTCCCTGAACCTAATGAGCACAGAAGGCATTATGGGAAAAGAAAAAGCACTTTTATAGCATGGGATGTGAGTCACGATTACAGATATTGTAGCATTTTGTTGCATCTTACTTTAATGGCTTCTTTTTTGCTAGAGCTCTTGTAAATGTGAATATCACTCACTTTTTTTGGTTCAAGCCCTCAGTCATGGTGTTGCCTGATTGGAGCCCATATGCACTTGTCTTATTATGAGTTGTTTATTGGTTCTCTGGACATCATTCAGGCAACAGTCATTTTCACGGTCACGTTCACAGATGTAGCACACATTGCCATTTGCAAAGCACCATGTAAATGCGGTATATGTTGGAAAGGAATTCAGGTTTACACTCTGCTGTCGTATAGTGAAATATTATTGGCACTATAGTCTTGGTTTGCACATGAGGTGAATTCCAACTCCAGAATGAAGAGCAGCAGTTGATCTTCCTGCATTTCTGTACTGCCTCATAAAGCAAGAACCTAATTAGGTCAGTGTCACTGAAAGTTGATCTTTCTGGGAAATGAGAAGGACTGAAAACTGAAGTTATGTTTTCATATAGTAGATCAGTGCCCATATATTGGATTTTTTTTATAGAAGTAGATGAAGCTCATCAGTTTTGATGTCCATTTTGTGATAGTCATGTTGTTCCTCTGTGACCTAAACAAGTAGAAAGTTGGGCTAGGTTCATATATTTTACACATTTGCAAGTAATTTATTGGTTGATCTTATCAGATACAGCATAAGGAGAAAGCCCACTAATAGAAAAATGAATGATGAGAAATCAGAGAAGGACTGAAAACTGAAAACTGAAGTTATGTTTTCATATAGTAGATCAGTGCCCATATATTGGATTTTTTTTTAGAAGTAGATGAAGCTCATCAGTTTTGATGTCCATTTTGTGATAGTCATGTTGTTCCTCTGTGACCTAAACAAGTAGAAAGTTGGGCTAGGTTCATATATTTTACACATTTGCAAGTAATTTATTGGTTGATCTTATCAGATACAGCATAAGGAGAAAGCCCACTAATAGAAAAATGAATGATGAGAAATCATAACACTCAAAATGGCGTCTGTAGGACAGGAAGTCCCGACTTTAAAAAGAGCCAATCGCCTTAAGGCATCCTGGTCTGTTTTTGAACTTGCATGCATATCAGCTAGACTAATCTGATTTATAAAGCTAAAGAAGCTACATTTAGATTTTTGTATCATTGTTTCTGGGTGATTTGAACATTTTTGAAAGGTTGGCAAACAGTTTTGGCAATCTCCCTACTTGCATGACTGGAAACTAGCATTACCAAAAGGCCACTAAATCAACTGCCTCAGGAGGAATTTGTCTTTACCAAGAAGAATGTGGCTCTAACAAGTGAGTGATCTTCCTCCGTCCTCTGTTTCTCACACTCTTTCCTCTCCGAGGCTCTGGGCGTCTAAGGGGGTGGTTACCGTGGCCTACTTTAAAACATAGCGTCACATCTTGCTTTGGCGACACGTTGACTGCTAGCTAGTTTAATGACCTTATTGGTGATTACATTAGCATATATCAGCCAGGTTGTGCTACTACTAAATCCTAGAAAGTTTGTCCCTTTTCTCATTACCTTGACTCTAGACTCGGATGTTACCTATAGCAGCTTAGGCTAAGGTTTATCCATTGTAGGACCATTCAAACTGGCCTTAATACTTACCTGTATATCTTTACCACTGCATGTCTCAAATACAATTATTTAGGACTATTTGCACATTAGGGTTGGAACAGGAACTTTAGAAAACTTTGAGTATATTAGAGTAGAAAAATCTACTGTTTTTCTTTTTTTAAATTTAAAATCTGCAACGGAATATTAGTAACGCATCTAAGAATAGCTAGTGTGTATATATATATATATCGAATGAAATTTCACCAGATCCTAAATATAATTCTTTAGAACGTTACTTTACTTTGTATTTATGGATCTGTATGGTTTTTAAGAAATGTTGCAATGTTTACAAAGTCAAGATTACTCTCACTCAGAGATCGTTGACATGAGACACACTGAAATATAAGTAACGGTAGTTGTTTTACGGTTATGTAAAGTCACATAAAGTTGCAGTACACTCTAATGTAGCGCTGTAGTTATTGATTTGGTTCTTTTGAAAGAAAATATACAATTAAAACATCTTTAGTATTATTAATTGTTGTGATGGCCTCTAGATTTCAGTGCATATCCAAAAATCGCCATACAGAAAGAGAAATCCTTATTTCCAATTTAATGCAATGTTTATACATAGGACATGTATTTAAGTATGATTTCACGTAGACTACACAGTTCCTTCAAAACATGCACAGAGACTCGAGTGAATGTATAGTTGCATGCCTTAACAACCTCTAGTCCTACGCACTAATGTATTGTCCTCCAGAGGGATGGTGCTAAATTGACTGTCCCTCAATTGATTGTGTTGCATTGATTGTACTGGATCTGTACACTCCCAGAATGCACTTTTGGAAACATCCTCCCTCCTATTAAATTGTAAAGACTTATCGACATAAAATTGATGTCTGATATGAAGATTGAGCCATCAATGTGCCCAGCGTAGTATTAGGACAACATCACTAACATAGTATGTTAGCATCTTAGCTTAATGCTGGAGAGGGTTTATGTATACCTGAAATACACTGAAATTCAAACAGGGAAAACAACACTTACTAGTGGCTACTACATTACACGTGACATGGTGAATGCTAAGGCTTGAAACATATTGTACACAAGTATGTGAATGCAAGTGTTTCAAGCTACATCATTGTTTCAAAATGTGTCAGACCACAATTCTCTTCAAACTCTTGCTCCACCATGACAGTCGTTGATGTGATGAAGAAAACTTACCCTAGAAGAAGATGCAGTTTTTGCTAATGCACACTGTAGTGCCCCAGCATATGCTGGTTAGGTATGTTTTGACGCTGGGATGCTGGTTTAAGCTGGTCCTTTGCTGGATTATACTGGTCCTTTTGCTGGTCCTTTTGCTGGTTTATGCTGGTCCTTTGCCAGTACATGACCAGCATAAACCAGCAAAAGGACCAGCATAAACCAGCAAAAGGACCAGCATAAACCAGCAAAGGACCAGCTTAAACCAGCATCCCAGTGTCAAAACATACCTAACCAGCATATGCTTGTTTTTTCAACAGGGTTGTGAGAATGTAATACCAATTACATAGTTATAAGCATTTGTGTTTGCATACTATGAGTATGCAGACTATGTTTCAGAACCAAAAGAGCCTTTCCATATCAGATTGAAGATTCCCCGCTCTTGCCTTTCTAACATAAGTTCAAATTGATGTAGATTGTGTCACGGCTCTTGACACTGCGTTTACAGCACCAATCTTGAAGTAAAATTTTGCATTGGCCATTTAGAGGGTCATAAGAAATGTACATGTTCTGGGGTGTGGAAGTCAGGGTAAAAGTCCACTAACAAATGCCTTGACCAATCCTCTTGACCAGTCCTTTAGTGTACTGCATCTTTATTTGCTATCAACATGTATCACTTTAATCTATTGTTCTATATTTTAAAAAAGAAAGAAAATCAGAGCATGACTGAAAAAAAATTCTATGCAAGTGTTGCATGTGATCTGATCGTTTCTTTAGATTGTTTCTGATCTACTTTAGTACTGCATTGATTCTTGTTGTAAGTATTATTCTATTTACTAAGAAAATTCACCCTCTTTTATACTGAGCACAGACAAGGGGCTTCTGCCGCAAAGTTCATTTTCTTTGAATAGCTCATTTTCAATCTCATGGACTTCAATACCTCCAATGTTATGTTTTATGTTAACGCTGAACCATAGCACATATTTGGATTGATGTAATAAAGGAATGTTCCAAGTTCAAGCTGTAATGAAAGAATCGGACAAAGACATAATCTGATCACAAGTAAGCCACAAGACTTATATAATAATTAGACGGATTAGATAAAATTGTTTAGTAACCTTGTCTATATTAAGTTATATCTAATCTTTCGACGACTCTCATGATCATGAAAAGTGGTAACACATAATCAGAAGTACATTCCCATTAAGTTTTTGTAAGAATTGGTATAAGCACTTTAACAAAACCACAAGCTGCACATTTCTGCTTTTAAACCCTCCAGAATGGTTTGTCCCATAGACTTCCATTGTAAGTCCATTACTGTACATGTGATTTGAAAGAGACGAGTCCAAATTGTTCTATTGTGTCAACAGAGCTCAACTTTTTAACTTGGAACATTCTTTTAAATGGCATTGATCAGATACTTTTATGTAAGTCAAGAACTTGCATTGTTGTAGCTGATATTAAGACTGAGAAAAGAGATTATTTATATGATCCACAATGCACAATGTAAAAGAGCATGTGTACTGTGATAAACTGTATGAGGTTCTGTTTTTTTTGCATGTCTTAGTACATGTAAATGTACATGATACAGTTTTTCCCCTTCTGTTATGGCATCACATCGTTTTCTAGAGGACCAATACAGAATCCATAACAAACACTGATTTCTTTTTATTTTTCTTCTTTCTGGTGTATTAAGAAGCACAATTTTTACAATGGGTATAATTTGAGTCCTTTGTCTTCAATTCTGTATGCAATACAAACATGGAAAGAAAACGCCTTAGAACATTGACACTTCCTCTTCTGTGTAAGTAGAGAAAATATATTGCACTATTTTTTTTTTTTATGTCTGCTTTGTAATGCAATAATTGCAATGGACACTTAATTGGTCCTCAGGCGTTGATGTAGGTACACTTTCTCTCTCTCGCCCCTTCATCTTTCTGACAACACGAAAAACAAAATCCTGCCTGATGCTGTATATGCTTTCTATTTAAAGAAAATACCACTAGTTATAATAAAAAACAAAACATTTTATGTACTTTTAACACTCCAGTCGTGTCTCAATTGTTTAATCATTGCTCATATTTGATTACAAGTGAGTTTTTTTGTTCTGTTTTTCTTTCTTTTTCATTTAGATATATATGCCAAAGAATTTATCACTGCTGTCAATAATATTCAATATTCAACTTAATACACATTATTTGCCTTTTAAAGTGCTGATATCATAATCTTTCAACAAAATATGTAACTCGTCCCCAAAATCTCAATTTTACACCCTTCACCTTCAAATACCTTGGCATTAAGGTCGATTCAGTAGCTAAGTTATCAAGCTGCCATTAGCATACACCGTAAAATACACAAATTCAAAAGAGAATTTACTTCAGTTTCATGTTGGCTTAGTGACATATTTTTAAAATGTCTTATTTTTTGGCAGGGTAACTTTAGTGACTGCAGGACAGATTATCATTAAAGATTTGTACAGATCAATTTGCAATCAATATAACAAATCTAATGAATTTCAAACGACAGTTTAGTCAGTCTAAAGGACTTTATTATTTATCCATAGAGTGCATGAACAGTTTTAACTCATCCTTTGACTAGAATGGAGTATCTACAGATGCATTCATGAATTGGTATTTTTACACAATTTAAAAATCAAACATAATTATTACATGAAATGTGTAAAAAAGAAAAGATGTGTGCGGTTCTACAATTTTATGTTTGACTAACTGTCCATCTTAGGATGTCAAGTGATGACTTCTCTCTGCTACAGCTTTCTACACTTGTCATTGGTTTATCTGCCAGAAAACTGATCCCCTGGCAAAGAATCTGGTGATAAGAAACAGCACAGGACGTTCAACAGAAAACAAACAACATGTGTAAATGGTTCAGCTCAGGCAAAGATGGTCTCCTCTCTTCTCTTCTTGGTAAGGA